TAGGTACAATGATTGATTGATTGATTGATGAGTTCACTGTGTAACAAGCACTGATCTCCATAATTCTAATGTCACAGCTAATTTCATTCAATTATAGTCAGTCAGTTTGTTAAATATAAAATATAATCTATTTTCAATAAGAAGATAAAGCTGTTTCTTTGTATCTATTACATTGTTGATTTTAGTAAAAAAGAATTTCCTATTTTTCGCCTTTAAACATATATATGCATATGTATGTACTGGCCTTGTAAGATAAGATAACGAACGACACATTGGCAGCAACTATTTGTATGTATTGTATTTTGTTTATGTATTCAATGTAAAGAAAGCACTTTTTCTGTTTTTTTTAAAAAAAAGAAGAAAACCAAATTACATGACAGAGGAATAAATTGTTTATTTCGTTTTAAGGTATATTTATTTATTTATTGGATTTGTTTAATTGGTTGATTTCAAAAAATTTTACTGATATTTAACTAACAACTAATTAATTGTATAAGTTTATTATACTATGACGAAAATTTTCCAACTAACATTTCTATTCCTACCGGTAGTAGTAGTTGGTCATCGTTAGTTAGTTGTTAGTCAATCAATCAGTCTGTCTGTCTGTCGATCAGTTGTAATCATCATAGAGCTTGGTGTAAAATATGTTATAAGCTGTCATTATCTGATTTTAATAACGCAACAAGATGAATTGCAACCAAATGATAAATTTACAAGAGAATGCAAATAATAATGACAGGAACATTAATAATGCGTGAGACTAAACGTTGTGAATTTTATTTGAGTCGATAGCGTAGTAAGTTACGTGTGAAGAAATAGAAAAAACACAGTCAGTCAGTCAGATGCAACGTAGAACTTCGTACGTAAGTACATCAATTCATGTTGCCATACCACATCAGCACACAGATATAATTGTCAATTCAAATACAATAGTAGTAGAGGTAGGTAAAGGTATTAGAAGTAATCGGAGAGGTTAGGATGAGAAGATATTATTCAAGAAGTATGATTCAGTGAGAAAAGATTAGAAAGTCAGAACTAGAGGGGTTGAAGAATCCAGAAGATTAGGATTTGAGAGAACATAATGAATGAATGCACCGGCGCCATTGCAAACGGTTTTGAGCCATGTCATTTAAGGTCTCTGACCATCGATTATTATCATCTCGCGGACCTCAACCAGGTAGTCGACAACTACCGACATGGCTAAGTCCATTCGTCAATGATTTCATGGATTTCTGCCATGTTTTGGTTTGGTCGCCCCTAACTTTCTTCCAACCTACTCCTATACCACAAAACATCGTTCGTCGAGGCAGCTGGTGGTTGGGTATTCGCAACACATGTACCGACCACCTCAACTGATGAAGTTTTATTACTTCGTATATTGATCTGCCATTCTTACCTAGCACCCGTTTCCTAATAACAACGTTGCTCACTGGGGTGTCCCAGGATATACGAGCAATGCCTCGAAGACACCTATGATCGAAAACCAGTAACCTACGAATATCTTCTAGTCTTAACGGCCATGTTTCACAGACATAAAGTAAGACGGAGTAAACTATTGCGCAGTACACTTGTCCTTTAGTCAGCAAACCGATATCTCTCCTACGCCATAAGTGACTGAGTTTGTCAAAAGCTAATCGAGCTTTATGTATCGGAGCTGGGATTTCGTCAGTCACCAGGCCATCAGCACTGATGAGAATACCCAGATAAGTGAAGCGGTCTACACGTTCGACTACTTCACTCTCTGTCACTAGTTCAGGTGCCGATGCAACCCAATCTTGAAGCAACATTTTGCATTTCGAGGGGGAAAACCGCATCCCGAACATGCTTGCATTGTTGCTTAGGGTAGTCAGAATACTCTGCATTTAGTCAGCGTCTTCACCAAGTAGAACTATGTCATCGGCATATTCTAAGTCAATAAGCGAGCCTCCTGGTAATAGGTGTCTACTCCTGAAAATTCAGACGAGGATATGTTAAAAACACAAAGAATGAATGAATCTGAATGACTGTGATCAAGTTCCCACTATGTTATCATTCATTAGAATTATTACAGTACAGAACTAACACAGTTTCTGATGTCATCATTTTGATTTGACCAATAGTCACGTTTTCTTCTTTCAATCTCAACTGCTTTCTGGTACACTAACTAGCTTAACTTTTTCAT